TGCACACCCACCCAATAAACCTTCTTTTTTGTTATAAAGACCGTTCTGAATTTTGTATTGTGTACTGCATGTAGTTTGGAATGTCGGGGGCTTCTCGTAACAAATGCACACGAGTGGTTTGCATAGGAATATCAATGAAGTTGGGCGTGACTATAGGCCCTGAAGCACGGCTACTTTAATGCACCGACTGGGATCCTATTGTCATGACGCACCAAACCGTAGCCCCTTGCCTTGACTGATCGTACACTTTGAAGCCGAAAAATACTCTGACGTCATAATAACTTCAATGACTCCGACAACAGGCCGACAACAGACCGATTACAGGCCGAACAAACCATTACATGACCTCTCATGGCCAAAAATCGGTCGGCTAAGGTCGGTAAAGAGGCCGGTTTAGTGGTGGTGGACTAATATGGGGTCGTACGAAAATCGGAAACACATCTGACGTCATACATACTTCTTCATCATCTAATCCATGGCCTGCATTTCAAAGAGATAGTTGAGTACTGGTAAACGCGATACTATTTGTGAGCAATTGTCATTCTTTTTTTTTTTTTAATTCTCATGTGGAAGAATAATGCAGTTGAAATGTCCTGTTTCTGTTTCGGTTGCGTCGATATACTCAGGGTTAACTGTACTTCACCAACGCGTTGCTATTGAAGTGTTAGTAGATCATAATAGGACCCGTTTTTGTTTCACATCTTTACAAATTTCTAGTGCTTTCATTTATTTTTGCGATTCCAGCAAGTTTTAGTCAATATGATGTAACTCTGAAGGTTCTGAAACCTCTTTAAAATTAATAATAATAATGGTTCCTATTCATAACACATCGACTAATCAGAATAACCTTTAAGTAGATAGCTTCAAAATCAATTACACGAGTAGCACTCACATTCATCTGAAATCAATTCACTCGAAAATAAGTACCTGATAATAAATTTCATTTGCATTACAAAAAATCACATGATTTACGTTGATGTGGTCAAAACATGTGACTCTTGAAGGGTGTTTTTTAATTGCACTGTATGTTGAAATCTCGAAAATACGTCTGGTTTCTAGCCGTGGAATTTGTCTAGAAAATGAGCTGCACTTGAAAGAGAAAGGAAAATTTATTGTCAGTCTGGGTTTTGTTTAAATGTACTATATTTACTGATATTCCTCCGATTTGTTTTGTTCTCGTGCCTTGCATTCAGACATTGTTATTCGCTCACGCCGGGCAAAGTTCATTCATAATCCTGAATAGTTTGTTTTTTATACACGCGTGTTTTGACTCGCGATATCCGATGATATTCAATCTTGTCAAAACAGGAAAAGGCAAGATAATGACTTTGCAAACTGTCTATTAATGGAATTTTTACACTCTTAAAACATAAGTGTCAATTTACATGATTTGAGTACAGCAAAGAATCCTATGGAAAATGTCTTTTTCGGCAGAAACATGAAGAGATTCACGAATACAATAATTTTTCGATTGCTTTTGCTCTCTGTACATATACATGTATATTCATCTTCCTATATTTCTGTTATCAAAATATCTGTAATTTTATCTGCTTCGATCTCCGTAGACAAATTACCCAATTTATTTTATTTGTTTCCAGACTTATTTAGTCTCTTTACCTTTTCTCGACTTCTTTGCCTCATTTAATTATAATATGTTATGCCTGAGGCGGGTTTTTTTTTATAATTTTTTTTTTTTTTTTTTATCTCTCTGCACTTTCTCATTATCGTCCCGTTTCTCCTACCCGTTCCCCCTCTCTCTCCCTCTTTACCTCCCACTCTCTCCCCTCTCTCTCCCTCTCCCTCTTCCTCTCTCTCTCTCTCTTCCTTTCTCTCTTCCTCTCTCCTTTTCTCTCTTCCTTTCTCTCTCTCTCTCTGCATCTGGCTTATCAACACCTCTGCAAAAAAGAAAAAACACGCAAGGTTTAGTTACCCATATACTTTTCGGGTGGTTGTACGTTCGTATACGGCTAAAAGGAGGTCACTCAAGAGATATAATGAAGAAAGAGATAAGGTTTAGAACAGGCCTTCTCAACTAGTTTATTAGAAGTGCCACAACGAACAGAATTTGTAGTTGAAGTGCCAATATGTATGTTTGACTGTACTGCGAGGTAGCGTAGCGACCAAGCCGACAACGGGCGCGGTCCAGTTGCAAAACCCCAGCGGGGTTGCAGGGGGAAAGAGCCCCCTGATGCTTGTGGAATTTAGGGCTTTCCAAAAGCCTAGATACGGCACTTTTAACACATATTTGTTCAAAAATATATCAGTCATAATTTCATATTGATGTGAAAAAAATTGGTACAATTCTTGGGTACAATTATACTGGTGGTAAATTTATATTTAGTTATTTTTGTGCAATAAACACGAGAAAGGTCAAAATTAAATGCAAATCCTACAAACAAAAACAAAATGTCTCCAGAGATCGGCAATTTTAAATTTGGTAGCACACCGCGGGTATATAGCACATATCGTACGATTATTGTTGTTTAGAGTCAGTTTAGAGCTCGTTTAGAGTCGTATAAAATAGTAATAAACAATAAATTCCCATTTCTTCTTGCAGACATTTTGGGCTCAACTTCGACTGCGACTTCTTGATTTTGTTGAGTTCTTAATAATTTTAAAATATAATATTTTTTTGTTTGTTTTTTGCAACAGTCGCGCGCCACTCCGACTGACCCCAAGCGCCACAAGTGGCGCGCGCGCCGCCAGTTGAGAAGAACTGGTTCAGAAGGACAGGAGATGAGAAGGAGAGGAGATGAGAAGGAGAGGAGATGAGAAGGAGAGGAGATGAGAAGGAGAGGAGATGAGAAGGAGAGGAGATGAGAAGGAGAGGAGATGAGATGAGAGGAGATGAGAAGGAGAGGAGATGAGAAGGAGAGGAGATGAGAAGGAGAGGAGATGAGAAGGAGAGGAGATGAGAAGGAGAGGAGATGAGAAGGAGAGGAGATGAGAAGGAGAGGAGATGAGAAGGAGAGGAGATGAGAAGGAGAGGAGATGAGAAGGAGAGGAGATGAGAAGGAGAGGAGATGAGAAGGAGAGGAGATGAGAAGGAGAGGAGATGAGAAGGAGAGGAGATGAGAAGGAGAGGAGATGAGAAGGAGAGGAGATGAGAAGGAGAGGAGATGAGAAGGAGAGGAGATGAGAAGGAGAGGGTGTGATAAATAGAGGAGTGGGAAGTGAAAAATACGTGAAAATATCAGATTTATATCCTTTTTACCCTATTAATTTATATCCTTTATGTTACGAAATACTAAGAAAATGAACATATATACAATAATGGTTATCGTGAATGCATTTAATGCAATTGAAAAGAAGAAAACAAAATCAAAAACAGTTTTTCTTCTTCAATAAATAATAGAAATTAAACAAAGTGAAAAAATATGGACGGCGAAATATAATTGGCTTTCACATTAACTGATATCTGAACTAAAAATAGACAACATGCTGATTTGTATGTATACTCAGAACATTCTTGCATTCATATTTTCGAGTCCCAACTTTTTTTATTTTAATAATTTCATTTCATTTTCTGGTCATGCCAGGAAAACGTCTGAATTTCTTGAACGTTTTTTTTAAAAATTGACCCGAGTTGATCTATGTGAAAATAGTTTTGAAGTAAACACTGACTTAAATGGTAATAATATTGCTGACATATTTATGTATCACAATTGCATAGATATACTTATATTACGAATTTATTGTTTAATGTGTTATTGCCCGTTTATACCGTAAATGGAAAGCTCTTGCTACTCGCCGCGTGTCGTAAAATGCCATGGTAGGCCTAATAAAGTTCCTTTACTCGAATTCAGACAAAAGCATGTGATTCCCAACTCTAACCAGTGTATTTTCCAGAATACATGTTTTAACTAGGATGCACTACGACACTAAAAATGCTAAATGTAAACAAATGAAATATGTGTGACATGTCTATATATTCCTGGGAACATAGACACATTCATACAGTGGTGTTTTGAATAAATAAGCCCCTTTTCTATCAGTATTACATGCAGCCCTGGTGATATTTGTATGTTTTTTTTATATATAAACATGAACTCCATAATTAAATCATTTTCGTCTGACGTAATATTACACAAAATTGTTTCCACATCATAACGAAACAAACATAATTGAAAACATAAAGTAAGAATTCGCAATCAACTGCTATCTTGAAGCCAACCTGTGTAAGGGGCTTACGACTTGGTCAAGGTGTGACTATCTGTGCATGGTGCTCAATCCTCTCTTAAAGGTACTATGTCCCATTTGCAGGCCAAAAAAAATGAAAAAGTTAAATTCCAACTGCATTTGAAAGATAATACTAATTTAGAACTTCCCTAAAAAAGGTGGGGCTTGAAAATGTCTTCAAGTGGGAAAATAACGACTATTAGTTGTCAAATCGACTTTAGGGCTATAGAGCCCAAAAGCAATAGTCTTGATTTTCAGACAATTGTACCGAATGGTCATATGTTTTATGCTGCGCAAATATTCAATCAGTTTAATCTTGGCCATCACAAGAAGTGGGTTATTGATGTAGACAAATGCTCATCTACCCTTTACAACTCTTTTCATGTATGTGATTACCAAAGAAGAAAAAAAGCCAGTCAATCACTCAATAGTGTCTGACAGTGAAGTCTAGCAAGTAAACAGGTTTCCTTGCATAATTTGAATATGAGGACACTTCTAACCTTTAAATTCCACAGATAGGACATACATGACATATTCATAATTCCTGCAAAGTTCTACAGAATTTGAGGTTGGCTGCAAAAGGGACATAGTACCTTTAATGAATTGTGAAAGGAAATGCGTGAAGGAAGCAAATGCAGACATGCTACAAAGAAGGGATCAGACACCCCCTCCAATCTTGGTGGGGTAAAATACCGGTCCGGTATAACGGTGGTGCCAAATAATATGATATCTCTTTCTTTAAAGCCTATCTGCACTAGTTTGACCAGGAGGGATTAGACCTCCATGCATGGTCACTATCAGGTGGTTATCTCATCAAATCAGCTCTCAATTAACATAAGAAAAAGGGGACCATGGGGGACCAATGAGAGGGTACCGCTTAGGCATTGTTTGCTTTAAGGAGGGCGCAAGTAGCTATAAGTATAGTGCAGTCCAGCTTTAAGTGAAGTAATATAATTTGCAAGGCACATCGGTTCCATAGGATCATAATGAAGTGAATCGGACAACAATGACGGGTTCATCGTCTTTTAACGTGAGGTTGTAGAAGTTGTCGTTGTCGAATCCGTCCTCCAACTCGGCGATGAAGAGATCGCTGAAGGCAGGCCTGGTTCCTATGTCATCTGAAGGAGTGCCGCTGAACAAGCACTGGAACGATACCCGGATGATACCATTTTCATCTCTATGGCAACGTTGACAGAAACATGAGAAATACGTCAATGATTTGTGTTCCGCAAAACATTTCAATCATTTTTCACACTGGATGTATGTAGTCACGGGCAGACAATGGGTTAAAATAATATGCATTTGTGAAGTATAATACATAAATAAACAATCTTTGTTATGTGATTTAATTTTATTGTTATTTGTAGTATACATTATGTCATTGTAACTTCAAGCTTGCAAGATATTGACAAAGGATTCAATCAGGAAACACATTTAGTAAATCAGAACATAGCCAAAGACCAAGACCTAGTTATTCCGAATAATCGCCTAAAAAGCGTTAAGATATTTTGTCCAGGTTTATTTTACTAAGTTAATAATTTGATATTATTCAGAATTCCGCTATGCGAATTCTTTAAGAATAAAATAGCTTATGTGTGACATAAATATGTACATTCACCAAAATGTGATTTAAAAAAAAGATATATGAATACATATCCATGTTTGCCTATAAATGCTAGGTTTTTGTTAAACTTACGAAAAAGAAAACATGTCTACTCCAAGGAAGACATCTTTGAATGCCGAGCTCTGATCCGTATACGTTGAATTTATCTGAGAAGTGGAAACAAAACTATTAATATGACCTTTACTGATTTTAGCGCAGGGCTGACAAAAACTGACCATACCCTTACCACACGAGAAAGGAAGGAAATTTTGTCCAGGTTTAATCATAGTGGAGTAAGATACAAAGAGAATGGTTCCTATATGAGTGCAAGAACAAATTCATTATTTCATTTGCTCTTGTTAACAAAAGAAAGATGCTTTCGAATATAGTTAAGGATTCGACGGCCCGTATTCTACTAAAATCTATTTTTAATGCACTAATCTTTGTTAATTACGTGCCTCGTTACAAACTATTTCATTCACATGTTACGAACAACTGTATTTTAATAGTCAGAATGCGAACGGCAATCATTAATTGTTGCCAGGTAGGACAAACAGTATGGCTTGTCTTACCTAACAACACGTAATATAATGCATTTTGCATTCTGTCTAATGATTAAAACTATTCATTACAGGTGAATGAAATACTTATATTGAGGCACTTCACAAGATTTTGTTACATTACGAAATGGTCTATTGCATATAGGTGAAATATAGACTAAAGTTTTTTTTGAATCACTGTTACTATAGGGGAAATATAAAACTGCACACTTTCTTCTTTGAATGAAAAATGTTATTTGATCGTTCTTTAACAAAAGCAACTCAATAAAATTCGAAATAATACATGTTTTGACGTATAGATGATTGTGACATACATGTACAACATACAATTGTACAACAATGTTCGTTCTTACTTTTTACCGATATATCACTTTGTACTTCTTTTTGAAAATGATATTGTAATGAGTACAGGCACAGGAATATAATAGTTTTTAGTATACCGCATAATATATCAGCAAAATAATGCACATAATCAAAGTCGATACTCAGTGTAAGATATACTTACTCCGTCTGTTATATTATATGCTAGCATCATGTGTTCTGAACTCGACGAAATCGCAAATTCCTCTTCCCAGGGATAATCTAGAATCATGACTGCTCGGATTCTGAACTCTCCATCTAAAGGAGAAGATTGAATAATCATTCAAATAAGCTACAGGGAAATGTGTCAAAGTGTCAACTTGAAACTAAGGGTATGTTTATGCTCAACTTTTTCTGGTCAGAATCAGGCATCTGTTACGCGTTTAGTTCAAAACACGGTTGCATCCTTTCTCATTTTTGTAGAATCACCGAAAAACGGCGATCACGATCGCCGATCGTAAACTCATAAAAAGGTGCGTTTACGATCGGCGATGCTGCATAATCGGCGATTCTGGGAAGCATAAACGCACAATCATTTGTAAACGCGTTTAAATGGGGTCAACGCATTGACCTCTAGTGGGTCTACGTAGCATGCGCAGTGCAGGTTTGCGAATCCAGCTGCAAGGCCACCCAGCCAGATTTTGCCTGGAGGAGCCAGAGAAGTGAGCATAAACAGTTCACCGTGGAACTGCGATTACGATGAGCGTTTACGATGAGCGTTTCAGATCGCTCATTCTACCTTCAAAATCAAGCATAAACGCACCCAGACAATCTCCCTATTTTATCTCCTACATTATACTTTTCTGGGGAAGAAATATCGTCTCGAGATTCAATTGGAAGAGAAACAGGTTAGGGAAACAATACCACTAAATCTCATTTAAAACTCTCGTCATCAATATGGTGTTTTCAATATATTAAAGTTAATAAGTTCGAATGATAGAATTTAATTAAGACAGTTGAGAAAGCTTAGGAAATAATGACGAAATGAAATCGAGTTAATTTGAAGTGAGGCAATACAAAATTCTACTTACCGGGAAATGAAGCTGAAAAAGTGAATGGGATGAAAGGATAGTATTAAAAATGTCAGTTAAGATTATCAAAAAATTTGATTGAAGTTCGTAATCATTATTTTGCAATTTAATATGGTGAGTAATAAAACAAATGGCACATATATAATCGCTTCATTAATGACTGCTAAAGAACTGCAAATATGACAAATTAGCCCATCTTTATTTTGTATATTGTCACAATTCCGATGTTATTAAATGTGATGTTAGCTTGCTTAATCAATTAGCTCATTGACATATCAATCTAGTTACAAAATGCTTAGAAACTCTGTTAAAAAAACAGAAAGGTCTTCTTTTTCATTACGATATATTTCCCACCACTCGCCCCCCCCCCCCCCTCCCCTCTCAGAGTTGATACACCACTGCTTTGATATGCCTAGAATTTAATTTCAGGAGAAGATGCGTCAAATTTGCTGTTAATTTAAAGTTCAGACTCGTGAAGAGACCTGTTAATGTGTTGTTTTGTTAACGTGGTTGTTGTTGCTTTTAATTAATGTGCATTTCTGCACGTATTTGTAATCGACCATCCCATCTAAAGATGGATGTCTTTGGACAAACGTATTTTCAATTGCTTAAAGGTGAAATTCAAAGAAAATCACAAATTTGTCAACTAATGTATCACTAGAAACTGGTTAGCTAACAGATGGCCATCGTACAAGTTATAGGTCAACTACATATCGGGTGATTAATAAAAAATAAAAACACAACCACCTCCATAGCAGCTGGGATATACGAGAGATTCGCCGGGAAAATAACGATGTTTTAATGACGTCACTATATGGACCAACACTGCCCAAGCAGACGACATCTCATAGAGAATGAACGTAATTGCAAAGCTATTATTTGTCAAATTATAATGAGTTTAGTTTATATAAATGTAATGGCATGTCAAACCATTTAAAACGGGATATGACCCGATTCTGATAACTAACATCTTTTGCTTGTAAATACACAGGATAGGGGTTAATTAACAATCAAAGAAACCAGACTTTCAAATTGAAAAACCCCGGAATCATATCAAGGACGGCATTTGTTCCCTCTTGAAACGCCGAACATACCCCGGTGTGTGCAGCTGAATATACAATGGCGTCTTATTTTGTTTACAAGCGACAAATTCCTTTATTTTTGTATCGCTGCATTTGTCATCAAAATAAAACCATGCGCGGGGTTTAGAGTGAGGCAATAGATTCTACATTTAGCCTGACGGTAGTGAAGTAAGAGAAAGAACTCAAGAAAAGATGAAACCACAGGCACTGAAAATGTGTGAGATGTCATGGGGCATCGTCTGCTTGTGCAAGTCATGTCCATACTGTGATCTCACACATCTCAGCAGCGTTCGGAGAGCTCTTCAGGTGCTATATGCCCGGGCTGTATTTAAGCGTTTTGTAATTTATAATAATCATTACTTCGAATGTTTCCAAGCATTAAATTTTGATAACCTTGTCGAATCAAAGTTTAAACTTTGCAATAATGAACATAAAGTTAGTTTTTAAAATCAATGAATATCTACTTTAAACTTATCCCTTTCTCACCGTCAGAGAGTTGTGTAATGTTGTATGCAAAGTAGAAAATGACAGCAATGGCTCCGGCGATGAGAAAGAAGATCGTGACCCACATGATGGATTCCCGTCTGTACGTCTTAACCCGTTTCATTTCCGCTTTCGTTTCTTCGGGGGACATCTCGATGTACCCTGTAACCTTTGAGTGCTGGTTAGTGTTTGGTGTCGTCGCCTCCGCCATCGGTCGCTTTGACGGGAGTGTGCTGGCGTTGTGGATACCGTTGGAGCTCTCAATATCATCCTCAGTGCCTGGTGAGGGATACGAAAAAGGAGTTTAAAACAGAGGATAACATTTCACGATATCCTGCATGGCCACAAATGTACCGCGTTCAAAATCCTACATTAAATGAATTCATAACTTCGACTCTGTACCAAGCACTTCTAACGAACGAAACTTGAAACATAACCTTAAACACATCTGCAAGAGTTATCCTAACCCTATAGCTTTGACGAAATAAACAAAATAAGGTCCGAAGCAAAGGTCACCGGGGGAGCGTGTAGGATCCACCATAACAAGATACGATTGCTTAATGCCAGTACTAGAGTATGTGTAGTAAGATATGATTTATTACGGGAGTAGCTGGAAAAGTCATTGTCCTCCGAGGCTCCGACACAATGGCATGACAAGGTTTGTAAAAACGCGTCAAAACGTGTCATATGACGCACATAAACCTAGGTTTGTCGACAAACCTCTTTTGTGAATTAGGGCCATAGCCATTTAAAGGTATTACAAAGTTTTGGTATGGGGTCATGAATTTGGTTCAATTGAACATATTGGAAGCATATGCGATCCTACAATATTCAGTGATCGTTGTCGCGGTTGAAATCGAGTCTAAAGTTATGAAATTGTAAATAATTAACTCTTTATGTTGTATAGCTCCCTCTCAAGGTCAATATATTAACTAAGCTATGAAACAATGTTTCGTGACTAAAATCTACCGATTAGCTATTCCCGTTTGGAAATTATATATCACAACTACATATTCTGAAATTTTCATGGTCGCAGCTACCATTGTACGGCCGTAGGCGTTATTTGAAATTTATCAAAATTTACCGGGAGCACCGGTAAATTTTTATACTCCATTTTTCGCGAAAGCAGAAGTGTTTAGGGGCTAAATTTTCTCGTGCTTATAAAACATCCACAGGGGCATCCAAATATATCAAAATTGTAAAGAATCACTATCCTCTCAATTTTCAAAATTTCCCAAAACTTTGTATTACCTTTAAGGAGTCGTGATCCTGAAGCAAATAAATAGCTAATTGTTTTTTAAACATGATCGTAACTACTTTCGAAAATCAATTGAGTGGGGATTTCTATACCTTTTAAGAATCCCATAAAAATCATGTTCGGATTACGTAATATTTCTTTGTAATTTTCGCACATTTCGAAAGGTAACGCACTAGCCAGGACCAAGGGCGTATTTAGGGAGGGTGGTGTTTTGGGTGCTAACCCACCCCCGCTTTTTCACCGGCTGGCTGATTCGCCGCTAAATATTTTCTCACGAATTGGGCAAAAAAACACATCCCCTAAAAAAAATCCTGGATATGCCCTTGGCCAGGACCATCGAATTTTCATTACGTCGATTTTCGAAAGTAGTTGCGACCTTGTTTATACCTTCTATTTGGATCTCATCAAACTCTCTTTGCAGTTCCTTCCCTTCCAGCTCGGATACATCAGCAGTAGACGTCGAAGGAACATCCACACCGCTGTCGTTGTTGTATGGAGGAAGAGGTGACCCACAGTCACTCGGTGGAGGGTGATCTATCACCGCGCTACCCGTATCGATAACCTCTGATGCATCTTGGATATCAGCATCTTGTGGCTCGTCGGGTGCTTCAGGGTCTAGTTCAGCTGGTGTTTAAAAAATAATCATGATTGCAAATAGTTTTTTGTGTGAATTTTGATGGGAAGAGTAGAGCAGTTAGAAGATGGCAATTAGGAAATACACTAGATGAGCATAGGGTGTAGCAGTGACCATTGTGCTATTAACGCCTGGAAAGTGGTTTAATTTTGCATGACAAATTTTCAAGAAGGCTATTTTTCAAGATCTTGAGATTTGATAGCCATATATATTTTTTATCATCACTGCCTGTCGCCTTTTCAAAAGGGGACGTTTATGAATTAGAAACTTTGATTCTTTAGAATGTCAAATAATGAGTCGCATTCAATCAGTAGAACCAACGTAGAATATTATACTGCAAACATTGAATACAACTCACGCTTTATGTAATTTCTTACATAATCTCAAGGTATATGTGTAAACATAAAGACGTGTTTTATGTTGTGTGTGTATTTTTTTGTAAGTTTGTTTGTCTGATTTTGTTCTACAGAATTTTGACTTCTTCCGTGCATATACCTTCCAAGATCACCACAGCACCGGTTGTTAAAGGAGGGTTGCGGTCCGTTTGTGAGGGTATGTCAGAGGGTGTGTCCTCATCCTGGGGTGGTGAAGGAGGTCCATCTTCTTCGGGAGGCGGTGTTGGCGGTGTATCTTCCACTGGAGGAGGTGGTGGATGGGGAGTATCTTCTTCAGGAGGAGGTGGTGGTATTTCTAAATCATCAATGGTAGGTGGGGGACGAGAGGTAGGCTCTTGCATCTCGGGTGTTCCACTCGTCTCTCCCTGTAAGAGGAAAAGAAGTACAATGTTGAATGAAGAAAATATCTGGCAATGCGGTTACCTTTCTGATAAACCTGTTAACAAGTTGACAATATTTCTAGTAGGAATTTCTTAAGAAAGAATTCTGGTGCACTCCTAGTATATCACTCCATATTCAGCTCTGTTCATAAAAAATCAAAATAATGTATACCAATAGTACAATAGTCGTTGCCCTTGGATGACGCATACAAAACATTCAGGGGGTTTAATTTGCCGGACATAGCAACGAATGTGGTATTCTCTCATTCGTTTTGCTGTGAACATGACCTTATTGCATTATGTCATTATATAATGTGGTATTCTCTGATCTATGGCGCCACGAACATGATCTTATTGCACAATGTCATTGTATAATGTGTTAATCTGTGATCTGTGGCGCCACGAACATGATCTTATTGCACAATGTCATTGTATAATGTGGTATTCTCTGATCTATGGCGCCACGAACATGATCTTACTGCACAATGTCATTGTATAATGTGGTATTCTATGATCTGTGGCGCCACGAACATGATCTTACTGCACAATGTCATCGTATAATGTGGTATTCTCTGATCTGTGGCGCCACGAACATGATCTTACTGCACAATGTCATCGTATAATGTGATATTCTCTGATCTGTGGCGCCACGAACATGATCTTACTGCACAATGTCATTGTATAATGTGGTATTCTCTGATCTGTGGCGCCACGTACATGATCTTACTGCACCATGCCATCGTATAATGTGTTATTCTCTGATCTGTGGCGCCACGAACATGATCTTACTGCACAATGTCATCGTATAATGTGGTATTCTCTGATCTGTGGCGCCACGAACATGATCTTACTGCACAATGTCATTGTATAATGTGGTATTCTCTGATCTGTGGCGCCACGAACATGATCTCACTGCACAATGTCATCGTATAATGTGTTATTCTCTGATCTGTGGCGCCACGAACATGATCTTACTGCACAATGTCATCGTATAATGTGGTATTCTCTGATCTGTGGCGCCACGAACATGATCTTACTGCACAATGTCATTGTATAATGTGGTATTCTCTGATCTGTGGCGCAACGAACATGATCTCACTGCACAATGTCATCGTATAATGTGGTACTCTCTGATCTGTGGCGCAACGAACATGATCTTACTGCACAATGTCATTGTATAATGTGGTATTCTCTGATCGATCGAACTATAATCATGAAATATCTATTAAATGCACAAAATCATTATACAACAATTACAATAACAATAACAATTTCCAAAGACCCCCACTACCAAAACAAGCCATCTAAGAAATTGTTAATCTCATTCTGATTAATATGTTTTACAAACTGACTGAAACTGTTTAGCAATCAGACATTATATTAGGCGGAACATTCATAAACTTCTGAGCTCATTCAAACATTCAGACACACATAAACAAACAAAGCTAACAAACAAATCATTCAGTACCCAACTGAAAATGGGCCTCAAATACACGAACTACCTTATCTGAAATATCTGCGTGGGACAACAGGCAATGAATGAATCAGGATAATTTCCCATCTTATTTTCTACAGTTATTTACCTCAATTTCTGTGTTATCAGCCATAACAGTGTAATAATCTGTCAGAATTCACAAGACAGTCTGATGCTTCTGCTTCCGAGAATATAATGTGTATTCAAACACAGTTTATAGAAGTTCCTGTCCTTGGGATGGCGCGGTGGGGAAAGAAAGTCCGACTACGTTCTTGCTTTCGTTGTTTACTATACAAGCATGATTTCTTGTTGTGCACATGGAGCCCGTCGTCTTTATTTCTCATCATTGGATTCCAACGACCTGAAGGAAAAATGCCTTTGTCAATTTAATCCTTTGTTAATTTCGCGCTTCGGTAATTTAATTGGAGATGTGTGTCTAGCCTGAGTTGTACATATTGTTACAAGAACGCATGTCATTTACTTCCTAGCTTTTCTCCTACATATACTCGTCATGTTATGATGTGATAGTGAGATGCGTTCAGGCATGAGGTTAACTTATTGTAGTGATTTTTACCAAAATGTCTTAAACATTACATTCCACAGACACAGACCGATGGAATCGTGAAGAGTGAATGGCTTAAAAAGGAGGCGGGCTATTAAGGTTTACATTTCACATCGATAATGGTACAAGTCGTAAGAGATTTTTGTTTCTATTTGGCTTGGTTATTTCACAATCTATTCACATTAGACGTTCAATATTTCTCTTGGCTCCTCTGCCTTACTCCTTTGTTGTATTTGCCTATTTCATTTTCTTGGGCAAAGAAAGAGCATCGTACTTTTCTCGTTGCTAATTCAAATTCTTCATGACGCATCCAGTGGTTGGAATACAATACCTTCTCTTTATCCTCATCATTCAGTATTTCCTCATTCAAATTCCAAAGCGGGTGTTCGCCCAAAGCAGAAGCGTGTAGTCCTATTGTACTGACTGAAACGTAAGGGACTATACGATGGAACCACCCAAAGCACCCCCCCCCCCCCCCTCCTCCTCCCCCATTGTTGGTTGACTCAATCTAATGAAAGATAAAATCAATCTCTCTATCTTGTCAATGGGTAGGCTTATTTTAGTCACGCTAACGATAGGCTACCGACAACAAAATAATAACGAACTAAATTTTATCACGAATGGCCAAGAATTTCAATTCAAATAATTGTTATCTGAAGGAGAAAGAAAAAGCAGTCATGCGTACTCATTTTTGTTTGCACATAAATACATTTGTGTTGCTTTATTGGTAAATTCGGTACTGAAGTAAATAGCAAACCAGGTATGGTTTTGTCTTTAACATATACGTGTATATAGGTCTTTCTTTGGGAGAGTGTGTATCTTTTCCCCTTAAATGTTCCCCTGTATCCTATTTTAAAGTTTTTCGCTTGCTCCAGGTTACACTACCAATCATTACGTGTTTTAGCTGAAAAAACCCCTCAAACCTGCATTAACGACCCCCTGTACACAAATACCTCCTGTCTATAAAGACCACACTTGTTTGTTCCCTTGAAATGATGCTTCTCATGGAAATGATTATCGGAGGAAACCTGCTCTTTGTATTTTCTATAGAGGTTAGTTTGGTCGGGCTTTCTATAGAGGTTATAATGTAGTCCTTAACTAACAATACAAATTTATTTAATTTTTTAATCATAGATCATCAATAAGATTTGGCCATAAGGCCTTAAAAAAAATGTTGTGTTGCCCTTTAGGTGCCAAAACATGGGGCGGTCGGAAATCTTTTATTTTTGTTCTTCTTTTCTCTGTCTTTGGGCTGATATTTCTCAGTTTTTAATGCTTTAATATTTTTTTCTCTAAAAAACGGCACAAAAAATAAAAAGTCGACCGTAGATTTCAAAACTTTTTGCTCGGTCGCAAAGGGCAATACAACATTTTTTTTTTAAATTTAGGCCCAATGGCAAACATAAATCATCTAAATCAACCATTACACTGTGTGAAGGTAGAAAAGGAGCTTAAACACCGCCATCTCTTGGTGTTGCTTCTCTCGTGTCGGTTGTCTTTCCGTCCAATCCCGGGGTCCAATCACCCACTGCTTTTCTGGAAATAGTGCAACCTCCGCGGTGATAATGTACTCATTCAATAATAGAGATATCCTTTGGGAGAATTGCAGATACCAAATTGTAGAGAAAAACTATTCTGCTTAGATAACCCACCGTGAATGCACATGTATTTGGTATTATGCACATATCATCACGAACATTAAAGTAATTAACATCGTATCGATTTCATAAAGTACCATGTAGGCCTATATGTATTTACAAAAAAAAAATCGAGGATAATTCCAGCAACGTTTTTTTGTTTAATTCCCTGCATTTAATATTTTTTCTCTTTAACATTAACACTTTATCCGCTTTCCTTATTTATACTTCAAGGTTCAAGGTATGTTGTTTTTTTTTCTTTATGTGTCAAGGTATTTATGTGGATGATAATGTGACAATATCTACCCCTTACACTTACATTTTTGTCCACATAATATTCTATCCATCAAACATCATAATACACTTCGTGCTATATCCATCGAGATGTTATTGTCTTTCAAATCTAGGCTCTCTCTCCTTTTTTATTATTACCAAGGCAACAAAAGTCACGCCACCCAATCTATTTTTAACCCCGTCGTCTATCCTTTATCTAATCGTCTTGGGAACAAGGTACCGTCTGACCCCTGCCCTGTGACCCGAGATGGCCTCAGCTGTTACCGGAGACGAGAAGCCAAGCCTTACTCCCAGGTCACCCATCAACCTCCATTCTGCTTCGTCGTAAACCAGCTGAGACTAGTACAGGAGCGAGAGATCGAGAGGATATGCACAGAGCGAAAAATCATTGTGGTACGAGCAGTTTCAGATATTTTCAGCGGACATCGAGGGCTACATGCATCCAGTAAACAGCATTCGATAAAATATATCAGTATAACAAGGTCTAATAATTCCGATGTACCACAAATCGATTAGTAATTTCCATAGATGGAACGCAAGTATTATATTTTTGTGAGATTGTTCTTATGCGTGCTTCCACGTAGCTTTGAAACAGCTGATGCCTCTCGAGACGACGATATAGGCTTTCGCACGTAATATACGTCGTTTGTGAAGTGAGTATTATACCAAGCATCTGATTATCATATCGCAGTGTGGATACGTTTTGTGTGTGTTGTTTGTGTATCGAGTCTGTTCGAACATATTTTATGCGCAAGTTTTGCATGGATATGTATTTCATTATTGCTCCTTGACCAAACTTTCCTTCAGTAATGGGATGTACTGTTATAAAGTTATAATATGTAACAATGACTTGTAAATATGTAATTTGTATATGATTGCAAATTTATTAAACACACAAATATAAAAAAATATATAAAATAACAAAAACTTATATGAGCTTCTTTCCGAATAGTTGTTTCTTATCATTAACTATTCCTCAAATGTATAAAATATTGAAATTTAAAGAGCTTTGTTACAGAAAAAGAAAAAAGATCCGTCATTCCGTAACAAACGTACATGAAATTGAATATTTCACAAATTTAATAAATGGGCTGATGAAGTGACTTTTTTTTTAAATTCAAAATGTCTTGTATAATATTCCTCATTCAAGGCAGAAAGCTCTCTGGAAATGCCATTCCGTACCGTTTGTAGTCGACCATTTTGGTCTTCTGGATCATGTTGTTGCACAACGTGTGTTATGTGCTATCTTACTTTGCATTTCAATAAAAAATCTAACCACTCAGAATGCGTTTCCCTCCTCCTATTCCTCGCAAAGGAAGAAGAGGAACGGTCATCAATGACGACGAGCGAGTTATCGAGAAGATAACACTCGAAGTCCGCTTCGCGCTCAGAGGGAAACGCTACGACTCTTCATCGTGGTTAGGTGTGGGGACACTAGTGTGTCGTAAGAGAACGATACATACTATAGAAATGATCCCTAAAAGTATGATCTTAATTTACATATATAATTTAGGAAATATATATAGAAGGATTAAACATCATTAAATATGGTTAGTAACTAATATTTTCCTGAGAATTACCGAATCGAGGGACGGTAAAAGATATTTATACTTTATTAAAGAGTTATAACTTATTTCACAATAATAATTTAAGTTTTTTTTTTTACTGGCCTGGATTTTCTTCTTAGATGAGGGTAAAGGTGAAATCCTTGGTAGATGCTTGGAAGAGCTGGAATAGAACAGCTTTATGATGAATATTCATGATATATTGTTAGTCTTTGATACCAGACAGGAATTTTGTTTCTCTTTATCCATAAAGGATGTTAATTCTAAAACCAAACATACTTATGCATCGTTAAGTGGTCAAAGGTATTTGAAAATGTATAGATTACATAATTGTTTGCACTTGAAAAAAAGAAGTTATAATATACAATGTATGTTTGTTTTCTATCATGCAATTCAATGTCTCAAATGTGCAACATTCAGTCAATTGAAGTGACTGAATTATTCGTGTAAACATAAAAATTTAAAAAAATATTACTGCATATGAGAGTGTATACTTTCTGACAACTATAAATTGTTTCGGGAAAAGTAGGAAATTTAATTTGAAAAGTAAAGGTAATATGTCCCATTCGCAGCCAACATCAAACTCTGTAGAACTTTGCAGGAATGATGAATATGTCGCGTAGGCCCATATGTTCTGTCTGTAAAACGTTAGCAGAGTCATATTATTCAAATTATGCAAGGAATCCCGTTTGCTTTCTAGAAAACACTGTCAGATATTATTGAGTGACTGACTGACTGACTTTTTTCTTTGGTAATAACATGAATTAAATGAGCTGTGAACTTGTAAAGGTACATGAGCATTTGTCTAGATCAATGACCCACTTCTTGTAATGGCCAAAATTAAACTGATTGAATCTTTGCGCAGCACATAACGTACGACCATTCGGTACAATGGTCTGAATATCAGACTATTACTAAAATGATTGCAATTACTACAACTACAGTCAATTCGACATCTAATATTCGTTATTTTCCCACTAAAAGACATTTTCAAGCCCTTTTGTTTTGAGGAAAGTTCTAAAATAGTATTATCTTTTATTTTATTTTTTTTCTGGCCTGCAAATGGGACATAATATTTTTGATACGAACGTATTTTTTTTTAAATAGATTAATCATGTTTACCTCATGTTCCGTTCAGTGTCCTTTCTGTTAGTGCTATGTTTTGTCTACGTTTTGTTTTTAGGTGTGTGTTTTTTCTCTCGTCCTTTTATTTTGGTAACATAATGTTCAGTAGATAAACCTTTGGAACCTCACCGTGAGCATCTTGGCTTGTACTGATTCTCTTCTCTTTATGTAATATTTTCATTTCAGAACAAGCGTGTAAGATCAGATTTTTGTAAATCTTAATCAAGTCTCGTGAAAATTGAAGAAAAAAAAGTTTGCACCTCGCATTTGGTGTTTTGTCTTTCATCGTGTCATTATCGACTAATATTATATTATTATTATTTATTTTATTTTATTTTTTTTTTTTTGTTGGGAGGGGGGGGGGGAGGTAGTCATTCCGTAGTTTTTGAAAAAAAGAGTGATTATTTGTTTGTCATTTTGCCGCAGAATTTGAAAGAGAAGGCCCTAAAAAGAATGAAACTGAAATGAACCAGTAGGAAAGGCTTTCTCAGAAGAAGAGAATATGCTACAATTACTTTCGAATTTTATTTCAAGAAAATCCGAGTTCTTTTGATAAGAAAACTGTGTACCCATAATTTGTTAACGAAGTCATACTGTTTTATGTAAGTTGACCCGAACTGACACAAACATAATTACGTTCATGACAAATCGGATGAATGATGGAGGAAATAAAATATTGAATGTTGATATCACTATTTATAATAACATACATGGGCAGGAAGAGAATGGCTCATTATGTTGCAGTACTTCTTCATTTGTTAAAGGTAAAGACCAGTATTGGAAACGCCCCAATTTCAAAAAATGAAATGGAAGCTCTCATTACCAATCATGTGAAAGAATATGTTTTGACTAATTCATGATGATAAAAAATTTGCCGGGAAACCGCCTACTATTTCATATATTTGGTAAATTTGTTTCTCTCTTGGTCTGTGAGAGATATAGGGTAGTCCGATATACATCTTTCTGTGTATAGTGCTTGTAACTTTACGAAGAATGGGCCAAATTTCTTATCATTTTGATGATTCCAGAACCTTGCAGATGCTAGATGCTAGATGATCAACCTTTTCTGATCGATTCCACAACGTTTCTTTCACAATGCAATCGCATGACCATAACTGGTCTTTACCTTTAACGCATATAATTATGTATCTCCTACTTATATCATAGTACATACATGTTTCTTTACATGTCGTCTTTTGATCAAGTCTTTTCCAACATAGAAATGGAGAAAGGGGCATTGCGAGTAATCTATAGCACATTCGAATGGGTATGATTACTTCAATGTTAATATCACACATCGTGACCGAATTATCAATAAGTTAACAATCATGTATGATCTGATCTTTCACAGGTTCACCAGAACGTCCTTCTTCTTTGTTCATTCATCTCAAATCTGGGTTACTTTTCCCCTAATTTCCCTCAGGGTACCTTTATTCCGTATGGATGTAACTTATCAGCCACGGATGATAAAACATGAACTGTAACAGTTCACGATACGGGTTTGTGAGCCAGGATATATGAGCCTTCGCTATCTATCTGAGATTCATGAACAATGGATGGATGTATCACAATGACATTTTCATTTTATCTAAGTCATCTGCCTACCCTTAGTACCCTCACTATGTAGGTCATGGTTGAAAGCTTTGTCACGTAGGCCATCGTGATTACCACTGTTGTGGTGATGCAGTGGCGGATCCAGCCGGCGGGAAGAGGGGGGGGGGGCAATCCGTGAGAAAATATTAGTTGCGACTCAGCCACCGGTGAATAAGCGGGGGGGGGGGGGGGGTAGGAGGCACTTTTGTTGTCCAATTTTTCAGGAAATATTTTACCCCGACTCAGCCAGCCGGTAAATAAGCGGGGGGGGGGGGGGAGCACCTTTCTTCTTTTCCTTTTTTGATCGAGTTTTGGAGGCCGGAAAAATTTAGCGCCGACTCAGCCGGTCGGTGAATCAATTATTATTATTGATTTATTATTTTTTGGGGGGCGCTTTTGTTTAGTGTTTTAAAAAAGGTTAACTTTACGTTATTATCCTATTTTTTAAATCGTTTTTGGGGGCTAGGGGGGCCCGGGCCGGAAAACTCGCTGCGTGGATCCGCCCCTGGGTGATGTGCAGTAGTTTTTGCAGCAAAAATACACAGTTAGAAACAGCAGAAATATATATACATAATAATAGTTTAATTTACATTCAAGGAAACACAAACCCAAACATACACTACATAGTTATGGGACAAAACATAGACTTCTTAAAAATAAGAATTACAGACTTAGACAAAGGAGGTTTGTCGACAAACCGAGGTTTATGTACGGCATATGACGCGTTTTTTACAAACCTGGTTTGTAAAAAACAAAAGGAGGTTTGTCGAAACAAAAGGAGGTTTGTCGACAAACCTCCTTTGTGAATTCGGGCCGTTGTGTTTTGCCTGCCAGGTGGTAAAGGTACAAACTTCCCTAAGTCTTTTGATTATGAATATGAGTGATTCGCGTATTACCGTAATTCCGGAGCAAATAAAGGATTAAAACGTAGGATGTTTAGAATCATCCTCGAGAACATAATTGTTTGAATTTAATTAAACGACTTTCTTCTTCTTCTCCTCCTCCTCCTTCTTCTTCTTCTTCTTCTTCTTCTTCTTCTCCTTTATTTCCAACATTTTTCTTCTTCTCCTTTCTCTCTTTCTGCCTTTCTTCTATAATAATGTATCCTTTAACTGTAATTATTTTTCTTGAATCATTCTTAAGGTTCTGATGATCAAGCCGACGCAAATTGAATAATCACCAAACCAGTAATCTTTGATGAAAATAACCATGACTGAGCAATCGGACCGCCCTAAAGTCACCATGGATGTTGAATGTCAGTCACGCCTTGGATCGCATCGACACCGCATCTGTTGCCATGACAGCAAGAGAATCGTTCCCTGGATGCTCTTCTCCTCCTTCGTGACGCTTACCGTCGTTCTTCTGGTTCTTTTTTTGGTTTTCAAAGGTAAGTATTTATTATTTTTCAGCGCTGATGTCAACAAAGATCAAGTTCTTTTAACCGTATGTCTTGTACATTGTTAATTTTAAATCTGTTTTATATTGCATTTAAATTGAAGATGAGAAAATATAACTTTTCTCTCAGCGTCATGCTTCCAAAATGTTAACTGCCACTTTTTGGTTCACGAATTATCAACCGGTGAATTTTTGTTTCCTCACTTTTTTCACTTGGGAATGGTCCCCAAAATAAAATAATGAATGGAAATTGGATTTTTAAAGCATTAATTGTTTTGTTTCACCACCTCTGTAATATAATATTTCAATCAAAACATAGACTCAATATCAAAATTAAAAAAAAAAAAAAACATTTGGCCATAATTCTATTTTGAGTAAGTATTATTTCATCATTTAAAAAAAAAGTTTTATAGGATTTTTTCTCACTTCATGTCAGTATTTGCGTTGTTGTCTAATAATAAAGAAAAATAATTTTGTTGTTATTTTTCTTCTTCTTCTTCTTTCCTTCTTCTACCTCTTCTTCTTCTTCTTCTTCTTCCTCTTCTTCTACCCCTCTTTCCTCTTCTTGGTTTAATGGCGACTGTCTATTGATGTCTGTATGATTGAATGAGTGAGCGACGTATTCCTTCATGAAATGTTCATAATGTCAAGTCCACCCTTTGTAACATTTTCTATAAACACTTTAATTGTAACATATAAAAGACATTTATACATTTACCCCGATGTAACCTCTCACTCTTAGAGACACATCTATTTTTGTTTCTGATTTCCCCCTTGATCTCTATCTCTTTTCTTCTTCTTCCTCTTCTTCGTCTTCTTCTTCAGATGACCGTCATATATATGCGAAGGAACCATCCATGGTTGAAGGTGAGACCTAGATTTTTGTTTTTCTGAACGGAAATCGGAAACCATTATAGGTATTTTATAGATCAAGACAATCGAAATCCAGAATAATAACATACTTCCTCTTCCAAGTTTATCCATCAAAACAACACCTTGATACAAAACCGTCGATTTACCCAGTGAAATTGTTATTGTTCTATCAATAAGCCGTGATATGAACTCCACTTTTTAGACCTAGTATCTGCATTTCTTTTACAAAGCTCTAGTCTGTGGTTTCCCTTTCTATTCTCTATTGCATGAAAGTGTTTCTTTGATATCACATGTTTACAAGTTTCACTCCACTTTACGTGATACGTGCAATCAGATGTTGATATAATATAAAGCAGTATTAACAATGTTTAATAAACACAGCCGCATTGACTGTTTAAAAAATATATCAACTAAAGGCGATTGCAATAGACTAGTCGGGTTGTTCATCACATATTGAAATGTGCGAATATTGCAATGATTATCCGAACATAACATGATTTTTGTGGGATGTACAATAAGTTACCCCCCCCCCCCCCCCACAAAAAATTAAATATTAAAAAACTACTACATTCCTTAAATGTCCTTGCGATCTTGCTTATATTACAAATAAGTAAGCCTTCACACAATAATAATAATAAAGTGAAGAAAACTTAAATTTGACAATTTACACGATTTTCTATGTGCGTGCCGGTTCGTGAAATGATCGACGAATTGTAACACAAAAGCAAATCAGTGCCAGAAGAGAGAGAGAGAGAGGGGGGGGGGGGGGGGGAGGTGAAACTAACGAGAGACAATTGGAAAGTCGATATACTTTTTTTTCCTTCTTTTCATGCACCGTTTCAATATTTTAAAGCTGCATCAGACTCTGAGCTTGTATTGAATGCTATGTTGTGACCTTGGTTTTTACCCGATCATGAACCGTACGAGTTGCTATCAGGGTCACGTTTTAGGATCGAGGTACCCAATAAATCAAAAGATACCCAGTCTGATAGCAGTTGAGTTGTTCCCATGGCAACGGAAGTCGGAAGATAAGTTATGGTCTCCGATTGTCTCGTTGCAAGCTAGAGCCAAACTGAACAGTGCGGTAGCGTTATGTTTAAAGGGCATCATAAACTAAGCGATCCGAATATAATTAGATCTTAAAGCCCGTCTGTACTAGTTTGGCCAGTAGGGATTAGACCACAAAGCGTTTTCACTGACATTGTTTTTTATATAGAGGGAACAAGTAGCTTCAAGTAGTACAGTGGGACTTTAAGTGAGTGTGCGCACGCGCATACTGGGCACGGGAAATAACGCCTCGTGTGCAGCGGGCCTAGCACGAAATGTGCTAACTCCCGTGGGGGATATACATTTTATATTCGAATCTTTTTAAGTCTGTAGTATTACTGATGATATTTTTTTTCTTTTAAAGAAGATGTGGAACAGCTCATTGGTACTTCCATTTCAAGACGAGATATTATTCTGGACCTCGGCAACATCTCAAACTTTTTAAATTTCAAACTTGTCTACTACTCTACAGACACCTCGCCCAGTACTGAAACCAACGTCTCCTCGTCTATATGTGGCCGTCGTGGTGAGGTTCCACACCCTGGCATCGACACTCGGGTTTCGGGAGGGCGCCCTACTACCATTGAGGCGTGGCCGTGGATGGTTTCTTTGAGGGACGAGAGTGGTGACCACATCTGCGGTGCCACTCTGATCAGTGACCAATGGCTACTCACCGCTGGACACTGCGTGTAAGTGCACGCAGCCAATGATAATTTATGTAGACGAAGTCGTCATTTGGGGGAAATCACACAAGTCCGCCTGCAGTCTACTCTCTTAAAAAAAGAGAGTGAATTTTCACTCTATTTTCACTTTCTTGGGAGTGTCGTCCGTGATCACTTGTTTAGGAGTGAAAATCGATTGATTTTAGAGTGCTCTCTAAGAAGAAAGGAGTGAATGTTCACTCTATTTTCACTACATTTCCCTCTCCAGAGGAGTGACGTCCGTGATCACTCAATTTTTTTTAGAGAGTAGTCTATCGATCATGTCCACTAACCAGGATCGGAACAATCTTACTCTTTACCCGGGCAAATTTTAGAAAGGCATATTCAATTAGCCTTTTCGAGTGCTTCTCAATTCCTTGGGATACTCCTATAATATGTATAAGGTTTTAGCGCCCCCTCCGGCCCCCTTCTGCCCCACCCTGCCTGTCTTTGACTAACTGTTAATAATTTTTGTGCAGATGTCCTTAATATTCTAGGAATACAAAAGGCTTTGAAGGAACTACCAAAAGGCTTTTTATTCCAATATTTTGTTTCGCTATCAGATTATGTTCATATATTATATATCGCTCAAAGTCTGAGAGATTTATTTATGTGTTAATGCCGACAAAACTGCGCTTTCTATCGGTAGTAAGCCTACGCAACAACCTACAGTATATGATTAACACAGATATGTATATCTGCTAGCGACTATTCACATTGGACTGAAGTGAACTGGCATAAATATAGCGTTGAAACCACTTCATGTAGGGTTGAGTGGATGGAATAGCGCTATATCAAAGTGACAAAACGTGTTTTTATGCAGCTTTTTTTGTCTAGTCTTTTCTTTTCATTTCATTTAATTTCTTTCCAGTACTTTTTTGCGTGTGGGACAGTGGCGGATCCCCCCCCCCCCCCCCCCACTGAGCAAATTATCGGCCGACTGTTTCGCCGCTAAATATTTTCTCACGAATTGAGGCCCCCTCCTCTGCCGCCGGCTGGATCCGCCCCTGGTTTAGGATGCAATGACAAGGAGTGGTTACTTCAAACTAAATAAGAAACAATCATATAAAGCTTAGAAGCGGGTTCCTTCATAGTTACTCCTACACAGTTCACATTAATAGGCCTATAAAAAGAAGAGCTAATTCCTACATAATACATTTCCATTATTTGTACCTCCTCCCCGATCTTCCTCTGCATCAACAGTTCCACCATCACCAGCCGCCCTCTGGGCTACGTCACAATGGGAGACACGTCTATCGCCGAACCTTCAGAATATCACGTGACCAGGGAAAGCTTGGAGACCTTCATTCATCCCGATTTCGACTCGTCCACCTTCGCCGATGATATCGCCCTCATTCGATTCGACCCACCGGTATTTCAAAGCAAGGGCGTGTCACCGGTTTGTTTGAATGAAGGCAGGAACGAGCTCGAGGATTACTCCAAGTGCTACGTCACTGGATGGGGAGCCACGTCCGTTTCGCGTGAGTTAAAGTTAACAAATTCCTGGTTATCTAAAACATGAAGAGAGAAGGGGTTAGAGAGAGAGGGAGAGACAAAGATAGAGAGAGAGAGAGAGAGAGAGAAAGAGAGAGGGAGGGAGAGAGAGAGAAACAAAAATGTAGAGAGAGAGAGACAGAAACAGAGACAGAAAGAAAGAATATCCCTCAAGCTCTAATTTGTTGCTATTATTAAAATCAGTTTGATATTGTATAATGATTTAAAAGTGGAACAAGGCCAACAGTCCATTCATCAGAACCTAAAGATCAATTATTCATAATTACTTTTTCCGAATCGTGTCACAATGGAAAACTGTTCATATTCATTGACAACTGCAAAAAGAAGCAAAATGAAGCAACTGCAAGAACACACTTCGCGCGGTTTTTCACTAAACAAAGATCTAACGCTCTGCTGCAGTTTTAATCGATTTTACATCATGTATTTGATAAGTTGCCTTTGCTTGTGTTTGAGAAAAATTTCTACTAATACGAATTATCTTCAAAGACTTTATGTTTCTTGTGTTTAAAAATATTTTTTTTTGCATATGAGTCATTAAAAAAGAAAATCTTACTTCAAATTCTTTCCTCAGTTATGGCATCGACAGGTTTGCAGGAAGGTCGAACGCCCCTGGTACCTCGTCAGAATTGCTCTGAGGACTACGGTACCCGACATCACGTGACGTCAGACATGATCTGTGCAATCTCTCCTGACTGGCAGGTCGACACATGCAAGGTATGTGAATCTACATCCCCCCCCCCCCCCTCCCTCCCTCGATCACTGGCATGGTGTGTGCCCCGGCCCTAAAACAATCGGTACAATGTGGTACAGCTTGCGATGGTTTCTTTATGTGCTTTTATTTTCTTAATGAATCATTGTTGAGAAATATATTGTTTTAGAGTTACTTGATTTGGGAGAAATATGCAGAGGTTTGGGGGTTATTTTTATATTTCTTGGTACAACTGATTTGGTGCGGATTGGACAAGAGCAAGGACAAAATAGTAGAAATTTCATGATATAACAACTGAATCAGGAAATTAAACAAGTTATCGCAGTTACTTGTCAAAGTCTAAAATAATTTTGTTCCAGTAACTTTTTTTTTTTATCTTTCAGGGTGACAGTGGTGGTCCCTTGGTGTGTCAAGACAGTATCAGCGATGTCTGGTCTGTGATTGGAGTGACAAGCTTTGGTTACGGCTGCTGGAATCCAGGCGATCCTGCCCCAGGGGTCTACTCTCGTGTCTCCAGCTACTTCGACGACTTCATCATGAAAACCGTCGACGCTGAATCCCGCAGATGACGACGTTATCGACATGCCATCGCGTTGTCCGCGAAAACGGGTTGAATGGGGTTTACGAAGAAAGCCAGGAATTTTGGATGTTTTAATCCATTCGCTTAACGTGCATACCAAAGATATTGGGATATAGCATCTCAAGCTTACCAAAAAGAAGGCTAATTTGATTTTTTTTTCTTCTCTTATTTTGTTGGTAAAAAAAACAGTATTTTTCTTCAAACGAAGATGCAAAAAATGATAGTATTGAAATTAACTATTGCATTAATTGAAGTTAAACTTCACTATTTTCTTCCGCACTTCGATTTTCATTTATATGACCAGCAGCCTTCTTGTCCATACCTTTTTTTTACGAGATGATATGAAATGATGATAATATGAATTGAGGTATGATTTAGTAAGATGAATTTACAAAGTACTTTTTTAAGATAGATACAATTTTAGATACGATTAATTACCGTATCATGATGTTGATACTACAAACAATTGTATGATTAATTGCATGATAGTGTGGCCAAGCATCATTTTTCAAAGGCAGAAAGTATTGCAAAGGATTGGATTAGATTAAATTTGAAGAAATCATAGAAACTTATTCGTTTTCCTTAAAAGTGTGCTGTGTCAATTCTTTTGCTCAATTGATAATCGGAATTTTTCTGATGGTTTGAGCGTTCAATGATTGTTGCGTCGAAATAGAGACTGATTTTTCTCTTCCTCTGAGATTTGAGTATTAGAAATGTCCGTGTCAGTAATGATAATTCTTGAAACTGGTCATCGTAGTAAGCTGTGGAAGTGTTTTAATTTGGTACTTTAATCACATTCCTGAGTAAGACCTTCGTTTTAATTAATAACAGTGCAAGATTAAAATTTTGTTTTTGTATGAGAGAAGTACTAGCTTATAAAATGAAACTGCGATTGAATGAATTGCTTGCACAAAGAACAGCAAGTTTAACAGAAATCGGTTTTCGTTTTTTCCTTCTTCTTTTTGTATGTAGCACGAGGTATTATGTTTTAATTTACTATCTAAACTAAACATTGCCAGTTCTTGCCAGCTCTATTTGTTACGTGCCAACCCTTGCATTATTTTGATTCATATATTTTAAAAGGTTTCGTGTACCAAAATGGGGAAGCCAATGTGTATTTCGCTATGCAGTATAGTATCCAGTTCATTTTTATATATGAAAGGGCGATTTTGTTTTTGTATTAAAGTTGATACACTCATCACCAATACTCAATATTATGTGTTATTTTAAAGGAATGGAATTTGCATGTTATAATTGTGTGCTAAACGGCTTAGAGGAGAACCTTTTTATCAATGGAGAACGCGCATCTCTTTTAAATCGAGGAAAATCATGAAATAGATTTATTGCGTTGGTCGTGGCAAAAAGCTGTTTGGATTTGAACCTATGGTGATGATAATTCACAATAAAGAGCCACATGTGTATAGATATCTCATAAATGATGGACAGTATTATTGATGACGACTTTGACAGAGCTGTACCTACTGTAGGGTAGCTACAGGGGACGTGTGGGCACGTGCCCTCAAACGAAAAACAGGGGGGAAAAGTTGGGAAAATATGCGAGACCGAAAAAAATGAAGATAGAATGAAAAGGGGCGTGAATTAATGGGGAGATGACGATCCCCCTCCCGCACTCCTCCTTAAAGGGAAATCCAGAGAAGTTGATTGATAAAAGTTTGAATGAAATCAGACGAAAAATGATAAATGTATTAATATTTTCAAAGTTGTAATCACTATTGGCTGAATCGGTAATGTATCTGTGATGTAATGGCGGACAACTTACCCATTTGTTCCATAACACACAATTACTAAAAATGTATAAGAATATATGCCTCAGGAAGGTCCTTTCTCTTTGAAGGATTTATGATAATATGCCATCCATTTTGAGTAGTGCCCCAAGATGGAAGGCGCTTAGGGGAAAAACACAAATTAATGATATTTTTGTACAAGACAAACCGGAAGAGTTATCCGCGACTGCGTCACAGTCCGCTGACCGAACTGCCAATTTGATATTCGCATAGACTTAGTGATCTCATATTTGAAACATTCATAATTTTCTTATCATTAGTCCGATATATTTCAAACTGTCGCCACTTTGTTTATCTTAATTTTCTGCTTTCATACAAATAAACTTATTACAAGGGCCTCGTAAATTAACATGAAAAGCCTGGCAATAATTTCCTTTTCAAGTTTTATTGGTTGGGGATGTAAAACGAGGGGCATATGGTTCTGCCTTAGTGTTCGGTACGCCGATGAGACTATAGAGAAGCAATAAGTTTGCAGTTCGAATGCCCGGTTCGAATGCTTTGACTTTTTTAAATGAAATTTGTAAGGCTGATTTTGTAAAGCGCTTGTTATTCATCAATAATGATTTTGATACCGATTTTTGTGTATGGATACCACTTTGTAATTCAAACGTATGAAATGTTTAAAACATTTACTATATGAGAAGACATGCAGCTAGTATAATCATTTACTCATTACATGTATCTGTTCTCTTTTTTATTAAAAGATACGATATTTTTGTATGTAATACGATGTATGTAATACGATGTATTTTTGATCACTTTTATTCTGAATCCCAGGATGAAAAAGATAAATCTAAAGATTTGACTGTTGTATGAGTATTATATGCACTGACCGTTAAGCCTCGGTCACAAATGCCATTACGAACTGCTACGAACGCCGTACGAACGATTTTCAGACAATGGAAATTCGGGAAGACAATGGAAAAGCAGGGAGATTCGTATGAAATTATCGTTCGTACGAACCTTTGTGACCGCAGCATTACTCTGTGTTGGTGTAAATACATGTTCGTTTAGATCTGTATGCCTTATCTTTACCCACTTTATCTGATATATCTTTTATCTATAATCATAACGCGTTGTTTATGTGCACTATTTTGACGATTATTAATGAGAACTTAGAAAGGTTACGTGGTATCACTTTTGAATTGCATGTCTTCCTACTATATCGCATTTTGAAATACGTATTATACTGGTTATGATTAAAATTTTACTGAAATAAAATCAGTTTCGTTATCAAAACCCTATCTTCGTGTTGTCATTATAAACACAAATTATCATCAGCAGATGCCGTTTACATTAGTCGGTCTCGGCAAAGCATCAGTAAAGACAGTCAAAGTTGTCTTGGTGGCCTCCCCTCTATATAAAGGTCACCTATATGTGCATGGGTGTCGATCCCGGGGGGGGGGGGAGATGGGGGATATATCCCCCCCCCCCAATGTTTTAGGTGGGGGATGGCCTGTACAATCACCCCCCCCCCCAAATAGTTCACCATCAAAAAAAAAAATTAATGATGAGAGCCCGATGAGAGAAGTTAATGATTATTACTCGCAAGATGACCATCAATATACACATTTTGCTATCTCATTTTCATAATACATACACATGAGACAACCGTATATGGGGGGGGGGGGGAGAGGGGGGAACTGAATTGAGACAAGGGCACGATACAACGAATCGTCTTCCTTCTCTAATAATTTAATAAAACGGTAAAGCTTCCGCGCTTCGCGCGAGATGGGCGAAAATGAATACAAACAAGGATTAAGAGTAATAACTTATTGAACCGTCAAAGCTTCCGCGCGGAAGGGCGGGGGTGGGGGGGGGGTTGCACTAAGACAAGGACACGATACAACGAATCGTCTTTTTTCTCTAAAAAAATAATGAAACGTGAAAGCTTCCGCGCTTCGCGCGAGATGGGCAAAAATGAGTTCAGACAAGGATTAATGTGACGGGCGAAAATAAATTCATACAAGGATTAAGAGTAAAATTTATTTGAAACGTCAAAGCTTAACCCTCTTCTCGCGGGAGTGGGGGGGGGGGGGAGGGAACTGAATTCAGAGTCGAGAACGGTACAACGGATCGTCTTCTTTCCATAGTAATTTAATGAAACGTCAAAGCTTCCGCGCTTTGCGCAGGAGGGGTGGGGAAACTGAATTCAGACAAGGATTAAGAGTCGAGAATGGTACATCGAATCGTCTTCTTTCTTTAAGAATCTAATGAAACGTCAGAGTTTCCGCGCTACGCGCGGAGGAAGGGGAACTTAGTTTAAACATTAAGGATTAAGAGTCGAGAATGGTACATCGAATCGTCTTCTTCATTTAATAAGCTAATGAAACGTCAGAGCTGCCTCGCTACGCGCGGAGGAAGGGGAACTTGATTCAAACAAGGATTAAGAGTCGAGAACGTTCCAACGAATCGTCTTCTTTTTCTAATAATTTAATGAAGCGTCAAAGCTTCTGCGCTTCGCGGGGAATGGGGAAACTCCTCTCTCTCCCTGCACCCAACCCCCTAGGGAGCGCGCTTTGCATGCTCACTACCCCCCCCCCCCCCCCTAAAATGAAATCCTGGCTACGCGCTTGGGGATGGGGTGCAACCTGCCACACGTTTCTACTTCTTGGTTGCTTTGATCCATTGCCGAACATATTTTGGCACCTATCATGCCCCCAACCACGGACACAAATCGACACCCTTGTGTATGTGTATTGTATAATGCATTTTGTCTCCTTCAAGAAGTGTGTTAGAACCTGCCTAGAAAGGCCACCTCTCCACGGAGACCATTTACTCCATTCCTCCTGAGTGACCTCAATATAGAGGGTTTGACTGTTAAATGAAAAAAAAATTAAACTTAATTATTCACAAATTTGGTCATCGTATCTAAGGGATAATGGTTAGCTTGTAGATATACTTGAGTGCGCGTTACAAACATTGTTTGAGCTACACCCAGGCGCCAAATGAAGCATCCGTTTACTTCAACGAGGTGCACATTGGCACATTAGTGCCTTGTCAAAGCCAAGGAGGGATTCAAAATGAATGTAGCGATGCCACCACATATTTAGCCCCATCTCCTAGCTCCTGTAGCTTAGGCTCTCTCTCTCTCACTGCCTCCTTTCTACCACTCTCTCTCTCTCTTTTTTGTTTGTTTTATCTCACTCCTCTCTCTATCCCTGCTCTTTCCTCCCTCTTACCAATCCTCTCTCTCCCTGCCGATCCCTCCCTCCTTTCTTTCACTCCTCTCTCTCTCTCCATGCCCTTCCCTCCTTTCTCTTCCTCTTCTCTCTTTCTCTCTCTCTCTCTCTCTCTCTCTCTGCTCACTTGCTGCCTCTGTATCCGGCCACCCCCCTCTCTATCCCTCTGTCTGACAACCCATGTTTCTCTCTCTCTTACTTTATCAAGAAAATAAAAATATGCCACATGTATTCATTATGTTATACCATTATTATTTATTTCATGACGTTATGATAGATTACACAATGCAAGAACCATCACCAAACTTTTATACACTTCATTCATTTTTGGTTGTGTTTCTTTTTGTTCCCCCTTTCCACATATTTTATACACAAGAATTACGAATGCTTTCAAAACCTCTGCCAAGATCTCTCATACAGTATTTGGTCATTCTTGATGGATGCATGTGTGAATAATCACCTTTATTTTTCATATCCTTAACTATTTTCATGAGACGTGATTCCCTAAAAAATACCACATGTACAAATATGTATATGGATGGTGAAATAGAAAGGAAAAAAGACCTACAGAAGTAAACTATAATGACAACACAAATTCAAGACAGTAGGCCTACACACTTTCTAAATGTTCAAATAGTAAACTATGTGAACAAGAAAAGAAAGTTTGTGGTATGAACATGCATGAACATCTCTATCCTGTATATACACAACATAAACAATATCTAGCTCCCTCTATATGAATACATATTAAAAATACCAAGGAAAAGTCCCAAATCAAAAAAAGTACATGAGTACATGAGAGGTCTTGTTAACATTCTAATATACTCCTAAAGTATATACTACATACATTTCTTTTGCAGCTCTAAACAACACAAAGCTTGAACATTATACAACCTTCTGGTATCCTTTACACCATTCACATTATCCACAAACAATTTTTCTTCATTTACAAAAATAGCCATTCTCCTCCCTGCCCTACGTGGCAGTAAGGAAGAAACGGAATGAAATAAATGTGAACCATCACCAATCATTGTTAATACTGCAAAAAATCACAAGTAAGTTATTAATCATATACAGGGAGGGATAATGCTACATAACCATTGCAATACATGTACCTTTTTTTTTCTTCTTAATGTGACCCTAACAACTGTTAGCAATCACTTGTTCCTTAACCTCAAATTCAAGATAATTCATTGGATAATTTATAATATCTTATTTTGTTAAAGATATGAATAATAACCGATACATTGTGAACTTTTCAACTTTCATTATTGTTTTTCCTTTAGGGTTTAGTAATGATCTTTATGTGTCACTACTCACTAGTGCCGAGTTTTGTTGTTTTTCTGCTTTAAAGGAATGCACTCCACCTTCAACAACGCTATGCTTGGCAAGGTTCAGAGTCCTACCTTTATATAGACTCTTGAGGGGGAAAGGCAGTTAGTCCAAACTACATGTGAATGTTACAAGCTCTTGTTACATACTTTAAAACAAAAATCTAAATGAAGAAAGCAATATGATAAATCTGCTGACCAAAGCTGAAACTAACAGTCACTGTGCATCTATCTAGCTAAGCCTCTTTGCCGAATTTGACTGGAAGATGTACATCAGTGATTAAAATTTATCTCAGAACTATTTGCTCTTGCACCACAGTCAGTCTGCAGGGGCTTAAAATACCGAGTGTCTTGGACTGCTTTTGTTTAATTCCACGATTTAAATTGGCCATGGGTGGCTTATGTGACATGAAGAACTTCCACCATGAAGTAAAATTGGATATATTGTGACGGCACTCATGGTATATCATGGATATACATGTACATGTAGCATGAGTATGGTCTCAGTATAAAGCTCCCAATAGGCCCATCACAATATCAGCCCCTCGGCCCGACCAAATCAAGTCTATGTGATCTTTTGTGCCTAATGTAAGTTGGTGCCCTTTATTTTTCTTACATAAGTGAACAAACCTGTGCGATTAACAAGATCGCACAGACTTTCGAAAAATCAACAAAGGGAAATTTCACTGGCCTCGTCTCCACCACCTTCTTGAAATGTGTGATCATGAAAACAACATATTACATAATCTGAAAATGATTTCTACAGGATATACAATTGAAAATGCCCTTGAGATGATTTCCAAAGTCTTTGTGATTATGATTGTGTGCATTCTTCTTAAAGTTCTTCACACCTACTCAACTCTACAAAACGTTTTGGGAAAAGAAAAGAGAAAAATCCATAAAACAGTCCTTTCAGTGATACACTACTGTTTTAAATAAAATGAAAATGTAGTCATTGAAGAGAAAAATAAATAGAGAATTGGTGAGAATCACACAAGTACTTTAGGGAATGATTGAACAAGCTTGATGTAAGAGAAGGAAAAGTTAGTTGGTTTTGTATACATCTAGAAAGAAATATATACATACTAGAAGGGACAAACAGTCACATTTGATGGTCCATGGAGATATATTTGGGGTTTGTATCATAAATACATATAAGATCATTCAGAAAAATTGTTCCAAACTGCATGTTAGTATTACTTAGTCATTACTGATTACTCTAATATGATACAAGTGACTAGAGAATTTTTTTTCAAAATGTATTATGCAGACACACAAGCCACAATTACATCACTCCATTCAATACTGCTTGTTTCTCCACATAAGGATAATACTTCTACATAGGAAATCCTTTTAAAGCATTGAAATTAACTCCAAATATTTATTTAAAAAAGAGAGAGAAAAAAAATGTCTGCATCTTAAGCTGGGATGTTCGGACCACAAGCAGTGTTGAATGGGATCAGTGGCAACAGAGAGACATTGATGAGCGGATGACGTTATGTGTTCTTTCAAATCACTTCATCTTCCCTTTGAGTATGTTAGCAAGCCAATCGAGACCTTCATAGAGGCCGTCTCCTGATGTGGCACACGTAGCTTGGATGTACCATTTCCTCTGAGTGGACAATGAATGCATGTTCAGTTTGTCAGTGATTTCTTTAGCATTGGCTGCATTGGGTAGATCCTATCAGGACAAAGAGAAAGGGAAAGCATGTCATCAACTATTATAATCAATCTGGAACGTATTGTTCTCCTTGTATCAAAAGATACATGTGCGAGATGTTTTGATGTTCTGTCCATTATTAAAAAAATATAGAGTAAATTTTGTTAAAGAGAAGGCTAACTTCTGGTTAAAGTGAAAAATAATTTGTGAACAAACTCAAAATTGCCTGAAAACGACTGCTCCTCAAACACTAACAGTAAAAAATTTGACAAGAAATAGCTGAATTGTATGGACGAAAAAGTTATACCACATATGGGTGTAGTGTAGTCACATAAAGCCAATTCTATGTGCAGTGCATGTGTTTTTTCATCAAGAAATCTGATGCAAAGTCTACAACGGATATAAACCAAAACAGTACATGGGCTTAAAGGTGCTATGCTGTTATGTACATCATTTATAAACTGAACTGACCTGTTTGTTGGCAAAGATCAAGATGGCAGCATCGCGTAGTTCATCTTCGTTGAGCATTCTATGGAGCTCATCCTTGGCTTCTACCATCCTCTCCTTGTCATTGCTGTCCACTACAAATATGAGACCTGATGGACAGAAGGAGAAAGATAGACAGAGTGGAAGAAAGATAAACCGATCGGAAGGGAGATGAGTATACAAACAGAAAGTCAACAGTGGGAGGGGGGGGGGGGGGAGTGTTAAAACATCATAACAGGTAGCAATATAGAGGGTGGTGACAGGATGGCGGAGTGGGACAGAGGGAGGGGAAGAGGGAGATGATACCCCCAAAAAAAAAAAATAAATAAATAAATAAATAATAATAATAATAATAATTAGTTTGTCCTTTTATCAAATGGCAAGTGACCATCCATCCAACTACACATGATACCGTTTGAACCTATTGGGAACCTTGTTTTGCTTAGATTCAGTCCTGAATTGACATAGAAGAGTGCTTTATTATTGAACATCCAATTTATGAAGACTATATCACTATTCAAAGCTTGCAGAAAATTTAAACAAAATGACTAATCCGGATAGCAAAAAGGAAATCTGTAGGAACTGAAACTTGTTGACAGTTTCCAGATCCTATTTCACTTTACATAGGTGTACACAAGTCACGATTGTTGATATTTTATCCATGCTTTCTAATGAATTTTGGAGTAAACGCCTGAAAGGAAAGTCAAACTGAGACTACCGGTATGCATCCTACAATGCATGCCCCGGAAGTGCCCCAAACAGTAACTTTACTAGATTAAATCCATTCAACGTTCATTGGAATCAAAGAGGAAATTGGAAAAAAAAACAAGTGAAATATAGTCTCAAGTTGTTCTTGTCTCAAAAGATACATGTATGCGATCATTTGGTATTCTACTCATGCTTCCGATGAATTGTAGCGTAATTATCTGAAAGGAACTCTAGATGACGGCTATACACTCCCCTACGCAGCACAGCAGCTTAGTATTTGCTGGTATCTTCTTATTGATCATCTAAAATCAAATAACTCTAATAGTTTTCCAGGGCTTACAGAAACTGTACATGACATACTGGGTTGTACAGCAAAATAAAAAGCAAAGAAAACATATTGTACCTTGTGTATTCTGGTAGTAGTGACGCCACAGCGGTCTGATCTTATCCTGGCCACCTACATCCCACACTGTAAAGCTGATGTTTTTATATTCCACCGTCTCCACATTGAAACCTGTGTGAAAAATAACAATCCTATTAAGTCTAATTGCTCATAAACACTCAGGTTACCGTAATGAAAGCCGAGTTATTAATCACATGAGACCACCAATTAGACCACTACAAACACGGTTTAAAAAAAAAAATCCATAAAACAATTAATTTGATGAATTTGATTGAAATAATTTAATATATATTTATCTACATGTATTGCTAACCAAACAATCTATAAATAAAATAAAAAAATCACTCACCCAAACTGTATACCGGTATACTGTTCAAGTTCTACACTTGTTGTGTTAGATTCAAAATCTGAGTGTCAGAAAGCCTTAAATCACTTCTAATATAAACATGTGTACATGTATGTTAAGTATGTTCTCATACATATATCATAAATGTGTACAGTGTACCTTTCACCTACAATATTTCAGAAGATATGATTCTGAAGTAAAGACTAATTATTCAAACATTGAACTTGTCAGTTAACGAGATCTATATTTTCCTGTATACTGGTGCACTAGAATGTACATTTAAATTTGATAATTCCTACAAAATGTAATACATGTAAAGTCCAATGCAGGGCATAAAGATAGACAAATTAGTCTGCTGACTCTACATAAATGATTTTTGTTTGTTAATTATTTTTTTTTTGGTTGTTTGTTCTTTCTTTTATTTTGTTTTTATGTTTTTGTCTTGTTCATTCTTTGTCTTTTGTTTTGTTGTACGGTATACATGTGTCTGGTCAATTCATATTTCATAGTACTAACATGTACCATGATCAGATACCCAATCACAATCATAATACAGTGTATATTTATTTGTGTAACATGTACACTACATGTACATGTAGCAGTGTATCATATACATGTATGTATGAAAATGGCAAGCGATTCAAAATCATTTTTCTATATCTTGGAAAGACATAAAAAAGATTGAAAATGATAAACTCCTTTTTTACCTTTGTACTTTGTACCAAATGCACTTCCTCCATTCTGGACAGAAGTTTCTAATACCAGTTCAAGTATTTACTCTCATTTCCTCAAACTTACATTCAGTTATTTACAATGCAGAGATTTATCCATACAGTAGATACAGATACATGTATACACTGCCCTGACCAAGCTACTTCTTGAGTAGTCTGGGCTGGTAATCAATTGCATACTTACAACATGTACATGTATGTCAGATATAAATGGGTATTTAATAGCCTAGTATTTAACTCAGGTGTCACTTAGTTAATCGTTAGCTTTAATAGATAGAATACTTAGCCAACTCTGGTATTCTGGTGCAGCTTTTGTCTTAGTATTTTAACCCAAGTTTATGCTTAATACATTGTAAGTCACTTTTAAAAGCAAATCATTTTGAAGACCATGATTGGTTTGGCAGATATATGGTTTTCATATGCAGTCATCATAAGCTGCATTAAATGCAGTGCGTGAATTGCGCATTAGTTTTGAATGAATATGATCACTATGCTTATCAGGGAGTATTTCATCTTAAAGTCGGTTTATCAAAGTAAAATGCTCAAATAATGTGATCTGAATATGAGTAAAGATATATTACTTAGCCGAGTTAAACGATAAAGAAAATACCGAATTAATTTAATCCCTGTGTAATGAATGGAATACGTCCAATGGTGATTTTTTTTTTCTTTTTTAACTGACTCAAATCACGTGCAGTAATTGATAATCCCTTATCCCCATGGCATGGCAGACCAGCAAAAAAGGAACAAACAAGTATAAAATCTTTCTGGAAATCCAAATCACTGGAAAGCACAATTCAAACAAACAATGTAGGGGGGGGGGGGGGGGCGGGGGATGTTTGTTGTTACATTTGTCCGGACAACTGTTACTTTCAATTTCATATTGTATTATTCCAGGGTGGTCAACAAGGTATTTTAAACCTGCAACAGCATCAGGTTTGAAATATTATGTTTTACAAATTGTGCCACAACTAACCATGTATCTCTCCATGATAAGCTTGACCTTGACATTGACCCAACAGAATCTCAATACACTAATCTAAACAATATGTTGATGTTTTTTATTTTATTATCGACAACTTTTAATATTCTTCACGAATTTGCAATGTAATTCACTTTATTTCTGAATCCATTATGAAATTCAATTCCAATATTTCCAATATTTTCTACCCATGACACAAAATCAACCCTTCCACTGAACCCTTCAGCATGCCAAATTCGTATAGTAGACCGTTTTAATAATTTAATATTGTATAATTGCTTTTATCATGTATACATTACATGTACATTGTAAACTGTTGTAACCATTGCAATTCAGTCTTTGGACTGCGAGAATGGATATTGGATAATATTCAATAAAATCCTTCAATAAATACACACTCATACTCACCAATTGTTGGAATGGTTGTGACGATTTCACCCAGTTTGAGTTTATATAGAATGGTTGTTTTACCTGCAGCATCCAAACCCACCATCAATATCCTCATCTCCTTCTTGCCAAAAAGCTCTTTTAACGCAGTGAATGCACTGAAGATAGTACCCATGGTTGGTGGAGGTTGTTGATCAAAAATATGTTTAAGAACTGCACCCTGTGCCAGCAGGAGGGAAATAAGGAAAATATAAAGTAAGTAAAAACTGTACTAAAAAATAAAAAGAATTTTAAAAAATAGAATCACAAAGTTCTAGCTATATACTAGAGTCTACATTTATTTTCTTTATTAAAGAACATATAAATATTATTGATAATAGATTAAGCCTAGGATATATTATGATGTATACGGTAGTTATAATATTAATTTTTTCAATTCAATTCAAAGTTTATTCAATACTCTTCATAAAAACATTTAAAACATACAAATACAGAATGGAGTTATAAATATAAAAAGACACAAAAAAGTGATAACAAATACAATGGCAATTTATAAGAGCATTTGGGATAGGCAGAAAGGAGGGAAGTTCCTTATATAAAAGCCTACCCCTAAAAACACACATACATGAAAACGAGAACAAAAGAACAGAACAAAAGAACAGAACAAAAAACAAAGAACATATTAAAACTTACTATCATGCACGATCAGAGTATATAAAAAAAAATGTCAAAAATTGGCCGATACTATTGATACTGATTATTATACTTTTTTAACAGAAATTGTTTATATTTGATTTTAAAAAGATTGAGAGTTTTGCATTTTTTAATTTCCTGAGGTATACTATTCCATATTAATGGTCCTTTAAAAAATAGTGAATTTTTCATACAAGTCGTTCTAATCTTGGGAAGGTGATAATTTAGGGCATTTCTAGTATTAAAATTATGCACATCACAATTCAAGTTAAAACATGTAGATAAAAAGGTAGGCAAGTTGCCATTAAAACATGAAAACATGAAAACTGCAATATAAAAATTATGCATATCGATTACATTCAAAATTCCAAGTTTACAAAATAAAGGATTACAGTGAGCATAATATTGGGAATGAGTTATAATGCGTATTGCTTTCTTTTGAAGCTTAAGTAACCTTAACATATCATTTTTATTAAAGTTTGCCCATGCAACTACAGTGTATACAGTAATTAAAATATGGTGTTATTAAAGTATGATACAACATTTTCAAAATATTTAAGGGATAAAAATGAACTTTATATAAAATACCTATATTTTTTGCTATTTTATTGCACACCACATTTATATGCTCATGCCACTTCAATTTATGATTAATTACAATACCTAAAAACTTAAGATTATCTACACGTTCAAAATTATGATCATTTACTCGTAAGTGAATGTTGTTAAAATCAATATTTCTATTTGTAAAAACCATAAACTTAGTTTTATCATAATTTAAAACCAATTTATTATATAAAAACCAATTAGAAAGTTTCAAAATTTCTTGCTTAAAAACATTTTGTAAAACCTGGACATCAGAATGAGACATAAAAACACTTGTGTCATCAGCAAATAAAATAAACTTTAGTTTATCAGAAATATTGCACATGTCATTAACATAAATAATAAATAAAAGAGGTCCAAGGATGGATCCTTGAGGCACTCCACATCTAAGTTTTTCAATATTAGACTTATCTTTATTTATTTGTACAAATTGGGTTCTATTTTCTAAATAACTTTCAAACCATTTCAAAGTTACTCCACGAATACCATAATAATATAATTTTTTCAATAAAATAGTGTGGTCTAATGTATCAAATGCTTTACTTAAATCTAAAAAAAGGCCCATTAAAATATGATTATTTTCAAAAGTTTTCAAAACATTATAAATAAAATGCATAATTGCATTAGATGTAGAGTGCCCAGGTCTAAAACCATATTGACATTCAGTGATAATATTACACTTATTTAAAAACATAAAAAGTCGATTATAAACAGCTCTTTCTAAAATCTTTGAGAAAACAGGGAGTATAGATATAGGTCGATAATTAGAAACATTTTCATTGGTGCCATTTTTAAAAACAGGAATAACCTTTGCAAGTTTTAATTGCTCTGGTACTATACCTGCAGATAAAGAAATATTGAATATTGCACTTAAAGGTAAAGACCAGTAATGGTCATGCGATTGCATTGTGAAAGAAACGTTTTGGAATCGATCAGAAAAGGTTGATCATCTAGCATCTAGCATCTGCAAGGTTCTGGAATCATCAAATTGATAAGAAATTTGGCCCATTCTTCGTAAAGTTACAAGCACTATACACAGAAAGATGTATATGGGACTACCCTATCTCTCTCACACGACCATGAGAGAAATAAATTTACCAAATATATGAATTAGTAGGCGGTTTCCCGGCAAATTTTTTATCATCATGTATTAGTCAAAACATATTCTTTCACATGATTGGTAATGAGAGCTTCCATTTCATTTTTTGAAATTGGGGCGTTACCAATACTGGTCTTTACCTTTAAAGGACATGATATAATATGAACAACTTTTTTCAATAATTTAACACTTACATCATCATGACCACAACTCTTATTATTTTTTAATTTACTTACAATATTGATTATTTCTGAGGGGGTAATTGGATTAAAAAAAGCTGTACATGAATTAAAATCAATATTACTATAAATGTCATCATTGCTAAAATCATTATCTAAGTTGTTGTCTAAATTATCAGTTAAGTTAGGTCCTATATTAATAAAAAAATTATTAAAAACAGAGCATATTTCTTTCTTATCACATATAGCTTGATCATTACACATAACCGAGTCGGGCATATTACGCTTACTTGTACTCTTACCGAGACTTTCATTGATTAATTTCCATGTTTTCCGTATGTTTCCTGATGCATTTCTAAATTTGGCCTTAAAATATTCTATCTTAGCTTTTTTAATTTTACCATTCACCATATTTCTATATTTGTTGTATTTATCTTTTTTATATTCAATTGGATGTATTTATATTTTCCATACACATGTTCAAATACGCTTTCAAATTATAATATCAACAGAAGAGATGAGTTTTGTTAGGGTAAATATGAGATTGATATCATCTAGCCTTAATTGGCACCCATACCCCAGCGTGAAGAGTGATCGACATAAACAAAACCTCAAATTTGTTAATGATCACCCCGTCCTGCACCAGACAAATCTTGCACACTGGCTTTGGAGTTTGCTAGTGGACTTGTATTTCTTCTCATGGAAAAGCACTCAAGTTCAAATCAGTGATCATATTTCACCTAGCCATTGAGGCTACTATGAAGTACAATGTAGGTAAGAAAATTATTTTGGTATCCCTTTCCTTCCCTCTTTTCTTTTTCTCCTTCTTGCTCCATTTCCTATCCTACGTTCCCCCCTCTCTCTTCTATATTTTGCATTGCCAATTTGATTCTGACTTTACGATAATAACCTTTACTGGTCAGAGAATAAGGATTGTCCGCACAAACAAGGATCGTCTTTGTAAACGCGGACATACGTGTCCACTAAAATAAGGATTGTCTGCATTTTTCGCTGACGATTCTGATTTCCGATCCGCGCGTACTTGGGTTCCGCAATGATTTTCTTGATGCATTTTACATTGACTTTGTACAGAGACTTTCATGTTATGAGCGATCGGATAAATCCTCGGGAACCCATAAAAGTAGACAGTGAACTGGGGGTATCTTATTAGGCAGAATCTTTTTCGCATCTCCAGCGCGCGGATTGGGAACCCGAAACCCGCTGAGCGCCAAAGAAAAAAATGTATGCAAAATTGCGGACAATTTCTTTATTTTAGCCGACGTATTTTGTCCAAGTATACATGAATATCCTCATTTACGCGGTTGATCCTCTCAACGAACATTAATAACAATATCTTCATCATCTTGAAGCAGCACTTAGTCTACACTGGAAGAACAAACCAACAATACATTCATGACTTTTGACCGATTCAATTCATAACATAGATCTAGAGTCTACGTCTAGACCTAAGCCTAATTTATTTTAAGGCAAGTTTACTTCACAGTGTGATTACCCAGGCTAGTGTCCCTCAGAGTTCAGATTGGTTCAACAATGAAACTGAATGAATAATGTATCATGCTGTACATTTGTATGTCAACTCCAACAAGATGAACAGATGAAGTTGGAATTCATGAATTGGACTTCAATTGAATTTGGAGTCCAACTCCAACCCAAGATATTCCTTCTAAATTTACTTAATTCATCATAAAATTTGTTGTCTAGCGTTAGTCATATCATCATTACTACTAGTATGTGGGTTAATTTAATTATTGAAATACACATATAAATACTTTGGCATGAACTTACTTGGCAAAATATGGACTTTCCTTCTTGGCTCTATTTCCCGTTTGATTTCACTACCTGAGTTTCTTCCCCCAATGACGTGTAACCTGTATACCACCCATACACAAGTACACTGCATGCACTGCACTGTATACTGACTAACGTGTAAACGTATACAGAGCTCTGGCGAGCGAGCGCGGACGTCATGTTTGGTCTAGTTTTGGAGACTTGCTCTAATGAATTTTTTTATAAAAAACAGTATGTCGAACTATATTTGATATTTTCAAAAAAAATGATTTCTTAAAGCGTTATTAATTAACCAATTATCATTGATGATTTATTATGTTCAAATTTTGGCATTCGATATGTTTTCGTTTGGAAATTATTAATATAGATAGAAATACAAGTATCTGGATAAAAACTAGTCTTTGTGGGGGCCCTTTGGTGGCCCTCTACGACGTAATCTATATACGCCCCATTTTTTTCTGGGATGGGGTGGAGGAGAAGGGGGAGGGTGTGGGGGTGTGGCTGCTGAACCAGTGGCTGATCAAGGGGGCCGAATCGCGCCTGACTCAGTATAGTGACACACATAGACCTATGCAGCTAGTGCCATCAGTCATCACCACATCATCCGACGCTGGGCGAGATGAAACTGGCTGATTATTTTAACTTCTTCAAAATTCCATCTCCATGAGAAATATGTCTTTTAATTTCAATTATTGGGAGAAATATTACATTTCTGTTTCCATCTTTGTGAGAAATAAGAGTTTCCATGTTTCTGAGAAATATTCTACTTGTCTTCATCGATTTTTCTGAGAAACTTGTATATGTTTTTAAGAGAAAATTTCCATTTCGTCTCTTGGTATGAAATAGCAAATTCAGTATCTATCTTTTGGAGAAATACACGGTTGTTTCCATTTTTGTGAGAAAGCCGGTTTCATATTCCAATATGAATTTTGGCTCTTTTTGAGAGAATATTTCCATTCTGTCTATATCTTTGTGATCATAAATATTGTGTCTATCTGTGTGAGAAACTTTTCTCTATCTTTGTGAGAAACTCGTCTTTGTTTTTGAGAGAAAATTTCCATTTCATGATTGTTGACACATTTTTTACCAATCTCTCTTTCTCAGTTTGGAAATTACAGATGATACTTGATTATTTTAACTTGTGTGTTGTTGCTGATGCTATACTGCTAGTTTATTATATGCTGAAGAGCCATACAAGAAGTAAACTCGATTTGCTTGTGTATAGATATTCATTTCCTTTTATTTTAATTCTCAAATTTCGAATCAACTGTACAAACCTATAAAGATATTTTGATACAAGTATTCTGGAAACCAGATGTCACTTCTTATTTAACGCATGATCTTTAGCAGAGTGAAAAAGAACCCCCTATATGCGGACATTCAAGAACATTTTCCACAAAACGGCCTTTATTATACATTTATGTACTCTATATAAACCCCCAACATCACTGAAAATAACCATGTCTAGGAACTATATCTTAAGCCTACCGCACACTATAGGCTACAGGCTGACTTCGATCCGAGTTTGAAAGAATTTGCCATGGCAAATAATACAAATATTCAAACTTTTAAAACCTTCATGATCCAGGACCTGAATTGTCACTAAATTTGAATGGATTTCAAGCTCCTTTGGAGAAAGAAAAGCTAAATCAACTCGGAATCGTAACGACGTCAGACAATTGTCGGCTACGATTTGAAGCTGATTCGTCTTGGCTTAAATTATTATTTATCATCTATCAGAACCTGAATTGGGAAGATGTTTCTTAAGACTTCCATATTGGATCAAACTATTACTAAAATTGCACCAAATTAACTCACTTGCCTAGATGTGTCTCATTATAGTTTTACTATCATAAAAGATAAAATAATTTCAGAATACCACTCAAAGATTATATCACTATACGGCTTGTTCACATATGTCAAAGTGAACTGCTACGTTTTTTTATTTTTTATATTTTAAATGATGCAAGAGTAATACCCTTCAAATTTCAATAATAATAATAATAATAGAGTATATTTGTGTAGCGCAAAATAAATTGTAAATTTCTCTATGCTATAATTTCAATATGTTATAATCCACGGATGAGTGAGTATGTGAAGGATACTTGCTTGAAGCTACCTTTCCTCACCATCACCTGTCATTCGATTACTAGTCCAGGGGGGGGGGGGTGTTTCACAAAGATCCTAAGTTTAAATATCTCTAAGTTGAACTTATGGAAAGCAGTTAGCATCTTTGAAAATATTTTATAAAAGTTATTTTAAAAGGCATAAAATGTTGATTCAAAGCATTTATATTTTCTATTATAAAGGAGATGTTTTTGATGTGGAATTTATGAAAGTCTAAAATACTTGAATTTTTGCTTTTGAATATGTTTTATTTTAAGGCTGCAAATGGCTCTCCATAATATTTAAGTCCAACTTAGAGTTAAGTTTGACTTTGGATCTATGTGAAACACCCCCTTGAATATGGCCAATTAATTTTGTAACAACCTCCACCAACCTATTAAACGCGATCTTCCTCTATATGCTGCAAGCAAAGATTTTGCTTGTTCCAAGAATTCTACGCCTGCCGAAAAATAATCGGCCGGATCAAAAGAGGATGGGAGAGATTGGAAAATGAAATAACACCATCCAGATTCTAGACTATTCAAACCAATGTAAAAAAAGTAGAAAAAACAAGCCCTTAGAAAAAAATTACATGTACACCATTGTATGATACGTACCATTATACATATAAGACAAAACAGATTTATATAGATATAAAAATAGAAAATTTGAATATATACACATATTTCCCTATTCACCAAAATTCATATAGAAAGACATTTTTCTAAAGAAAATTGAACATAAATTAAAATACAAACTGAGTTCTGTAAATAAAGATAATAAATTCTCATAGAATCCAATGAAACTTACACCAAATGTTCAAGATTACAAATAAATTACAGGTGCCAAACAATTTTGGTAGAAAATGTAAAGTGGCTGAGTAATGAGCATAAAAAGATAAGGAACGGTATAGGCCCGACACCATGTGCAAATGGAAGTTGTGGTTTTTATTGAAGATGATGCCCAGTAAGTTTTTGTGCATTTGTTTTTATTTCACTGCTTCAAAAAAAAAATCTACTGTAGGATAAATCTTAGCAACTTTCTCTCAAAATATGATTTCCATACCAGTATCTTGAAGTACAGTGAACAATGAAGCCCTTTTCTTTAAATTCAAAATTCCATTAGAATTTAAACATGACCAATGAAATGACGGTCTCATTTAGTCGTCCCCGAAACCACACACTTTATTCATAAGTCGTGGAAGGGAAAAAATGTATGTATTACAAAGGAAACCCATTATAGCGATGTAATTGAGACCGTGAAAAAATAAAATTGTTATCACGGTCAGCGTTCTTGTTATAGTATGGTTAAAAACAAGAGAATAAAGAGCTGGGACCAGTAAAATTACCTTTTTATATCATACAGTGTATCTTGCTACCTCAGAGTTCTTTATAAGTAGTTTCCAATGTATAATCGATTAAATTACACATACACTGCTTCTGTGTTGATTTGTAATGTGCCTTGAAGGAGAAATCGCTACATGATTTTAAATATAATCAAATTTTACTCAGGTACATGCATTGGCCAGATTTTACTTGATATTTACAAGTAGCATGAAAAAGTATGAAAATAGAAATGTAATGCACACTATACAGTCATGATGATCCCATTACCAATATAACTCTCTGTAATTAAGTTTATTTATGTTTCATTATCAAAATTTGTATATAAAATCTACTTCATGTGTTCCACAAATTATTTTCTTTTCCACCTGTACTTTGAGTGCATTTAAACTAATTTCTTGTTATTTTGACAAGAATGTTGTGCAGTAGAGCCTGTTACAACCAGTAATGTCACAATAATGCAAAATGTCAAAATGATACATGGTGGGGTACTATTTTAGGCTGACTTTCTGGTAGTGAAGTTGATGGAAATAATTAACAGACATTTACATTAATCAACCGGGTTGACTTAAAAACACTTCAAAAGAAATATTTCCATGGCATCATACC